ATCATAAAAAAATAAAAAAACTTTACTTAAGAAGTATTTGCATTTCTTAAATTACTGCGTTTGGCCCACGGACTTCAGATTGATTATAATTTTGGCCCTCTCGGGGAAAATGTTTGGGCACCCCTGTTCTAGCATAAATATTTAAGGCTACATCTGTGTGTCACAAGTCAAATTATTGCACGTAAACAGAAGATGACAGAGCAGAAAAGCAGATGAACAGAGAGGGATCCATGAAGTGTAGATTTTCTATGCCTTTTATTTCTAAAAAAAGAAAGAAGAGACAGAGAGAGAGAGAGAGGGAGAGAGAGGGAGAGAGAGAGGGATGAAAAAAGACTGTTCTTTTTGGGTGGTGCAGAGAAGGAGGGTCCAGTTGTCAGGACCAGTTATGTGAAACTCTGCAGGTCCACAGAATGTGTTTCGGCTCTTCATTGGTAAGACAGTCAGGTAGGACGGTGCTTGTCCTCCCCAGAAGAGCCCCTGCGTGACGTTTCCGCTTGCTCCGAAAAGATGGAGACAAAGTGATGTGTCTGTTGCTGGGTGATCCGCAGAGGAACACTGGGGGCAGCTTTTTTTTTTCTTTTTTCTAAAGAGGAGGCTGAAAACACAGCAGCAAAGTAAAACAAATATTGGCCTCCCTCTGCCTTCCTCACTCTTCACACAGCTAGAGAGGAATTCAGAAGTTGTTGAGGGAGATTAAACAGGGAACAAAAAAACAAACAACTTCAGCCAGTCAAGTTTATGTCTCTGTGTGGCATCATGTTGTAAAACTGCATAAAAATAAATTATAATAAAAGATTCACAGGTTATTGCAAAAAAAAAAAAATGGAAATTAAGAAAAAAAATAAGATAGTACCTCTCTCTATATTTACATTTTACTGCTGCTGTTTCTGTATTTTTTTTTGTCATTTTAGTTTGGAATTACTTCCCTCTAGCTTCTTATTTTATTTTGAAAATTCCTTTCACTGTGGATTTTGTTTTACTTCACTTCCTCTTGTGTCACATTTAGTCTTTATCTTTCACAGTTAGTGTGTAGTTCTTTTCTTGTCAATGAAGCCTTGTCAGGTCCTTGCTGTTTGTTTTGTTGGGTTTTTTCAGTTGAGTTTGTTTTTGTCAGCTAAATTCTGGATTCACCTACTTTTCTGCTGCTTCTTTTACTTGCATTTTGGTCCAGTTTCCAACACCCCAGGAATAAATATGAAGAAACATTTGGGAAGAACTTGGAAAAAAGCAGTGAATGACATCAATATTTGGGCTGTAGGACTCAAATTAATTGCAATCAATAAAAAAATACATTAAAAACCTATTGGGAGAAAGTATTTTGATGTAAATAGCAAATAAAGGGCTAATATAAGTAGCATATTTTTGTCTTTATGCTAGTTATGTTTCTTGGTTTGTTGACGTGTGTCTATAACTGGGTTGTGTTTCTTAAAAGTGAGGTTAGGGTAAAAAAATCACCATTAGGTGCACAATGTTTCATGCAACATTAATATAGAGCATTTAGATGTCAGATGGCTGGTTTATGAACTGGCAGAACAATAAAAAATGACTGCATCAGAAAGAAAGACTGAACAGTTTRAGTCAGAGCTTTGTTGCTGTACCCAGCAAATGTGTGTTGAAATAGAAAAAAAAACCTTTGCCTCTAAGGAGTAAAAGCACAAATACTCATTACAGTACATCTGTATTAAATTTGAAWTGGGGCATTTCACAGTTCTACTCCACACTAAAGCAGTATTGGCTATTTAAATGGCATGCACTTTTGTATCAGCACACACTACAGATTAGAAAGAAGATCCATTTTCTGTGAAACTGCAGTTGTGGGCTTTCAGCACTGTCCCCAAAGATGTCTTTGCTGCTGCTAGTCAAGGTAATTGAGGCAGACAGGATGCCATCCGGGAGTCAGCACTGATATTTAGACTTAATAGCTTTCAGAGAATTTGCATCTGCTGCCATCTGCACCGTCAACACATGGCTGGCTGAAAACAGGAGGAATGCACTGGGAGTCTGGAAAYGTGTTGTTGTGTAGAAGCTTTGCTTTTTCGTATTATTTCTGCCAAAAACTTTGGAATAGCAAAGTGAAAATTGTCCAATTTAAAAGAAATGTCATTAAAACAAATTGCTGAATGGTAATAAACACATGGGTTGAAATTGAAAAAAACTTGAAAATTTACACACAAGTCAGCATGTGAATACCTCTTGTAATATAGGGTTTATGTACAGATCTGTTGTCAACAAATCAGAGGCCAATAGGTGTAAAATAAATGATTTGCTGTATGCAAAACTGGTACATGAGACAACAGCTTTAATCATTAACTCATTTTGTGAGTAAATGCTGTAAGACTGCAGTCAGCAGCAGATAGAGATATAAAGAGAGATGTAGACTTCTGGATTWGAGGAATTAGATACAACTGTTGCTGGAATTGAGGCCAAAGCAGAGGTACWTTTTCAGTTCTGGGGTAATGGAGTCTGTCTTCTGGAGCTTTGAATGTTCAGAAGGTTAGAGCTGAGAAGGATGAGATGCTGCTGCAGTCTGTCTCACTCCTCTCCTGCCGGCTGCTACTGTAGCAGCCTCATTATATTTTATAGAGTCTCATTAATAGGTCTCCAGCAGAGGTTCCAGGGGTTAATTTATATTTGGTTTGTTTCATTGATTGCTTTTTTTCCCTTCTTAAAGCCTGTGAACTTTCATGGTTCACGAGTGTTGCTATAACCAGATAAGCTGAGCACAATCCAAGCAATCTGACATCTGACAGGAATTTAAGTCTGCTGATAGCAGATRCTTTATTCTAAGACATTATCAAATAAAAAAACTCAATATTCTAAATGTATTGGATTTATTTTATACCAGCATTTATTTTCCTTGCARTCAAGACAAAAAATAACCTGTGTCAAAAAGTAAATGATATATGAAAAAAAAGTAGATGTGATCAATAGTTTTGAACTCATGATGTTTGAGAGAACATGATACGACTTTCCTAACCTTTTGAGTCCTTTTTTCTATCCATCCATCCAATATCTTCAGCTTTATATGGAGCAGGGTTGCGGGGGCAGCAGCTTGTCCTGTTGGACATCCCTGAAGCACCTCCCAAGGGAGGCTTC